AGGTAATGCAAAGGTATCGCAAGGTAATGCAAAGGTATCGCAAGGTAATGCAAAGGTATCGCAAGGTAACGCAACGGTATTGCGAGGGGACGCAAAGGTATTGCGGGGTAACGCAAATGAAAAAAATCCCCCATGTCCCCTCGCGGGCTCCGTAGAAGTTAAAGGCCCAAATTCAAAGACCTTAATTATAGCTCCCCCTATTGGTTGACATGTCTGTTTTTTCCCCCCACTGTACATGTGAGGCCTGTGTACTACTTCGACATGGTCCTTGTGGTTTGTGCTGCAGTATTAGTATTACAGAAGGACAAAAATTTCCATCCATCTTTACTGGCTTTTTTATGCAGGAATGTGTGGGAGTGGGTATCCAGCAGTCATTGTGTAGCTAACAAAAATGGTCTTATAGCTCAGTAAATGAGATCTTGAGATAAAATTTGATTCTCTAGCTGGGTAATTCACTCACCACGTTCCAGACATTTCTAATATCATCTCAAGACATTTCACCAGATCAAACATAGCATATTTTCAAGGTCTCCCCACAGAAACTGATTTTAGATCCTAGCATGAAAGGTGGTTGGTAATTTTCATTCCTTCAAGTTTTTTCTGATTCTAAAAATGTAAATTCTTTCAAGTATGAAATATTTCTGTGCTTTCTTCTTGCATAGTTTGTTAATCACCTCTATGGGACACATAAAGCTGACAGACTTTGGACTGTCCAAAATTGGCCTAATGAACATGACAACCAACTTGTATGAAGGACACATTGAAAAAGATACCAGAGAATTTATTGACAAGCAGGTTTGTACTTTTTCTTGGTTAGTTTTGAATTGTATTTTAGAAATTGAAACACATCATTTTATTTATATTTTGTTCCTTTATTGTTTTTGCGTTTAGGTGTGTGGTACTCCAGAGTARATTGCTCCTGAGGTAATCTTGAGGCAGGGGTATGGGAAACCAGTGGATTGGTGGGCCATGGGCATAATCCTTTATGAGTTCCTTGTGGGATGTGTGCCCTTCTTTGGAGACACACCAGAGCAGCTCTTTGGTCAAGTAGTTAATGGTAAACTGTACTTTTTAAATTAAAAAAACAAGATTAAATTAAATTAAATTCAGTTGAATCAGCTAGGGTATCTTTATTTTATTGACATTGAGATTATATCTTTGTAGATATATTTCAGGTCTCATTTGACTTGGTATGTCCCTCTATGTTTAGATGAGATCATCTGGCCAGAAGGAGAGGACGCTTTGCCAATTGATGCCCAGGATCTTATCACCCGACTTCTAAAGCAGAACCCTTTGGAGCGTCTTGGGACAGGTTGGTGAGCAAACTGTGTTTTGGTCAAACCCAAGTGTGCTGCAGGCCCAAAGTCTGCAAAAAGCTTCAAAACCTTTAGGAGTAGAAGGCTATCTTGAAAAGATTTGAAACTTAGAACATTAGACAAACATTTTCCTGATATTTGAAACAAATGTCCCATCTAGCAACACTACCTGGCACATTACTCAGTGTTGTAAAGTAACTAAGTACAAATACTTTGTTACTGTACTTAAGTAGAAATTTTGGTTATCTATACTTTACTTGAGTAATTATTTTTCAGCATACTTTTTACTTACTCTCTACATTTTTTAAAAAGATAAGAAGTAGGAAGTCATTACTCCTAATTTATTCTGAGTTATTATTTTAAAAATCCTCTCCTGATAAACTGTGTCTCCTGGATAGAGTGAATTTAATTGTGTTTGGATGAGAAGTATACAGTGGTTTGCAAAAGTATTCATACCCCTTGAACTTTTCCATATTTTGTCACATTACAACCACAAACATAAATAT